TATTTGTTGTTCTTCAGTATTTAACATTAAAAGAATTATTCTTATAAGTTCTTTTTTTTGAAATTTATGTCCTGGCTCGCTCCACAAAATTGGTATAACAATTCTACACCATTGACGGCTTACAAGTGCACATGAAAATAAATCATTGTAATTACGTTTATCGTTATGTAGATTATAAAAATCTTATAGTAGCATTCAAGAGGTAATGCAGCCATATTGAGAAATTTAGAGAGCGTATGTAAGTGTAAGTAAGTACGTATGTACGTATGTACGTACTATCTCTGGTATATATCACAGATCAGATATATCAGTTGTGAAACGTTGGCAAAAAATCACAAGACTTTGAGAAATACACGTAACAATCCAATGAAACAAAAAAATGCGAAAATACAAGAAATGAATGTCTAAACGCATCTTAGTGCATTAATAAAAGTGCCGGTACTCCTAAGGCCACTCCAATTTAATTTTCTGTTTAACATAACATAAAGGTCGCTTATGAGAGTGGGGGTAGGGCATTAAAAAAAAACAAAAATAAAAAAATACAGCAATTCTATTGGCTGTAAAAAATGTAAAAATACAAAAAGTTAATACTGCAATTTGATTGGTCAAAATTGTGTTTTTTTTACATACAAAATTTTAAAAAATAGAGGGGGGGGGTTATGTTAAACAGAGAATCAAATTGGTCTGGCCTAACCCTAGCCCAGGGACGATGATTTTTTTTCTTGGCCTGGATTTAGGATCTAAAGTCATCATAATGCTGGCTGACATTAGTTTGGCCCGAATCTGCGGATTATAATGCTGACCGACTTTACGTAATTCTGGCAATCGCAGAATTTTGCGGAATCATCATTTTGTCATCGCAACAAATCATCGTCCTTGCCCTAGCTCACATGTCACTAACTTGACCCTAGTTGATCGAGATCAAGTGAATAAAAATTTTAACTTTAAATTTTTTTTGGGCCTTTTTTGCTAGTTTTTTTTTTTTAGTTTAGGGTTAGAATTATTAGGGAAAGAGTATAAGTAAATTTTGATAGCGAGACCACAATGATTTGATTTCATGATTTGCAACAATTACAGCTGTTTTTCATTACACCTGTAAAAAATTAAAAAATTAGCCGAATGATCTTTCGGCCGATCCCATAATAAATTCAATAAAAATTGATGTAATTTAAAATCAGGTGGCTAATATAAATATAAAATTATGCAAATTCAAAAAAAAAGATACTTTCAAACCACATTCACTGGCAAATTATTGAAAAAAATTTAGAAGGCCTATCAACTCGAAAAATTGCAAAACACTTAGGTGTTAGCACGTCTTCTATAAGTCGGGTTCTTGTGCATTTTCAAAGATATTGTTATATTGAAAAACTTCCATCGCTTTCATGAAAACCACGTTCTTTAAACATGAATGATATAAATTATCTTGAAGTTTTAATGAAAAAAACCTGACTGGTACTTGCATGAATTACAATCCGAGATATTAGTCTTACAACAATTTGGAGGGCTATACACCGACTTGGATATACGCACAAAAAGGTAATATTTCATATATTTATACATAATTTTATTTTATAAAGGCTCTTTCGTATTAATAGCCCCTGATTCAGGCTCTTTCATGATAATAATATCCAATTAATTTCTGAATCAGTTGCGGTCAATTGTTAGATCTACTGTGAGCTTTGATTTTGTTGATCATAATTAACAATCGACGAATTCTTGATCGTATCTAACTTTTTTAATATTAACACCTATTCGACTGTACGTACGTACGTATAAATTTTAACGTAAATATCTGATATGCCTAATTCACGATCAATATCCCGTGATAGATCGGTTGGAATTGGTATCATTCATCGAGACGAATCGAATGTCTAAAACCATGTGATTCTGATCGACGGTTCACGAGATATCGAATTGCTGTGCTATATCGACGAACTTATTCGAATCAAGAATACCCACTACTATATCGAATAAACAAGAAATTACACCATTGAAAGTTTCACGATTTCAAAGGTTATCGATCTTATCGCAATTGACGTTCAATAATAAGTTAGTGTATAATAATAATATCCGATGTTAACGATATTAATCTATAGTTTCTACTTAATATTATACTATAATTTATCGTATTTTAGCATAAATAATGCAATAGATAATTTCTGATTTTTGCAATGATTCTTGTTTGCAAAATTTTGTGAAATTTGTAGATCAAAAAAAAAATATATATACTTGATTTTAAGCGATTTCTAAATTCTAAATATTCGATTTCATGATATGAAATTATCATATCGGTGTAGTTTTAAGAATTCAAAATTTTTTAATTTAATTGATTATAAATTAATTATATAGTATACAGTATCACATATAAAACAATTTTATATGCTATCTCTTGATTTTTGTCTATTTAATTTAATAAAAAATTATTCATATTATATACAATAGTTATTACTCGATTATGATAATACTAAAGTATAAGTTTATTTTATCAAAATTAAATTATTTTTTATTTTTAATTTTTAATCTTTTTTTTTAATATTTTGATTTTTTTTTAAATTATCGGAGTTTTTATTTTTTTTTTAAATATATCTTCTTGTTTTATTTTATTTTTTTTTGAATATCGTTTTTTATTATGAATTTTGCTAATTACAACCAGTGGTGACCATCACCGCAATCACACAATTACATTAAAATAAATATAGACAAAACCAGCTCTACCCATAATAAAAGCGAACATAAGCTAAACTATACTGTCAAGTCATTATATAGTTGCCATACGGTGCGAGCGAAGCGAGCACCTAGGCAGTTGTCTTGCGGAGCGTATTTCTAAAGCAGCTACGCGCACACAACTTGTACTCTCGGACGAGTTATCCATCGTATCGATTTAACAGTCAATATTGTAGCGGCAGGTAGTACGGTGATCGTCACCACCGGTTGTTTTTAAGTAATTACCTTTTATTATTGTCGTGGCTGATGCTAAAAATTTTTTGGGCCTTTGTTAGGGGGTTTTTTTTAGAGTTAGGTTAGGGTTTAGTGATAGTTTTAATAATAAAAGAGTATACCGTATTACCGCGAAATAACGACCATGGGCGTTATTTCGAGGTTCGGCCCGAATTAAGCTTAATTTAGGCCGAAATTCATAATTTCGCCCCTGCGCGTTATTTCGCGGTAATACGGTAATTGGATTTTGGTAGGGTTTTTATATTTAAATCAAGGTCCCTAATTTCCAGCTTCAGCCGTGACAATTAATTATCATTGTTTTTTAAAATTCTATTTTGACCGGGTCAAAGTGACCCATCACATGACCATAATTAAGAATTTTCAAACTTTGATCGAAAATATTTTGATAACCATCTAATCAAAATTAATCTTATAACTTCATAAAATTTTGAATAAAACAATTTCATCGAATTTAGTCAGATAATTGTCGAGATATCTTTGCTCAAAGTTAGAGAAAAATCAAAATGCTTATCGCTGTGCTAAAATTTTTTTCTAACTTTGAACGAAGATAACTCAACACTCATCAAGCCTTTTTTTTATTTGAATACTCTGGATTCATAAAAATTTCGAATAACGAAATTTTCATCGAATTTAGTCAGATGGTTGTTGAGATATCTTTGCTCAAATTAGAGAAAAATTTGTCATAATTTCTATTTTGATAGGCATTTTGATTTTTCTCTAACTTTGAACGAAGTTATCACGACAACCACCTGACTAAATTCGATGAAAATTTTTTTATTCGAATTTTATGAAGTCATAAGATTCAAATAAAAAATGTTTTATCAAATTTGGTTTGATGGTTGTCAAGATATCTTCGCTCAAAGCAGTTTGGTATTTTGATAGGCATTTTGATTTTTTCTAACTGTGAGCGAAGATATCTCGATAAGCACTTAACTAAATTCGATGAAAATTTTTTTATTCGAATTCTATGAATCCATAGAATTCAAACAAAAAATGGTTTATCGAATTTGGCTTGATGGCTGAAGATTCTTTGATAAAAGTTAAGGAAAAGTTTGGTGCAACTTCTATTTATAGGCATTTCGATTTTTCTTTAACTTTGAGCGAAGATATCTCGATAACTAACTGACTAAACTTGGTGAAAATTTTTTATTCGAATTCTATGAATCTATAGAATTCAAATAAAAAAGTTTATTGAATTTGGGTTTATGGTTGTTGAGATATCTTCGCTCAAAGTTTTGAAAATTCTTGGACATATGGGAGGTCAAAAGTAGAAACCACCGAATTTTTTTCTAAGTAAATTTTTTTCAGACTTTAAATTAAAATATCTCAACAACTATTAGATAAAAAATTTTTTATTTTAATTCTATATAGTTATAGAATTAAAATAAAAAAAAAATTATTAGATTTGGTTTAATAGTTGTCAAGATATTTTTAATTAAAATTTTTAAAAAAACTTACTAAAAACAAATTCGGTGGTTTCTACTTTTGACCTCCCATATAGTCGCATAATGGGTCAGGTCAAAATAGAATTGGCCTTTAAATTATTGTTTTTTTTTTTAAAAAAAAAACTTAATGTTGTTTTATTTCGGTTTATTTTCTAAATTACTTTATTTATTTGTTTATTTTTTACACTTTCTCTTTTTTTTTTAACTTTTTTATTTATTAATCATTAAATTTATTTATTTTATTGAAGTTAAATTAAATTATTATTATTATTTTAAACTATATTTTTTAAATTATTTATTTAGTTATTTTTAAATTCTCTATTTATTTTTTATTTAAATTAAACCATTTTTTAATCTACAATTTTAGTATTGCGCTTTCTTTTATTTTTTATTCTTTCCTTCATTCTTTTTTTTTTTTTTTTACTTTTTTTTTCTTTTGTCATTCTTTTTTCTTCTTCCTTGTCTTCCATGCTATCTATTTTTGTATCTTAATAAGTGGATGGATAGGCGTCTTCATGGGTGAGTGAACAAATAGCCGGGGGCTTTACGGGTGGGTGGGTGGATAGTTGGGTGTCTCTACGGGTGGGTAGAGTGTCTCTATGGGTGGATAGGTGGATTGTTGGGTGTCTCTACTGGTGGGTAGGTGAATAGTCGAATATCACAATAGGTTGGTGGGTTTCTAGGGATGGGTGAATGGTCAGGTGTCTCTACAAGGTGGGCATCTTTGCAAACGCGCAAGTAGGTATTTTTATGGCAAGGTGGTTTCTTTACGAGTGGTGGTGTCTTTGCAAGTAAATAAGTGTCTTTGCGAGTAAGTGAGTGGTTGGATGTTTTTGTGTGTTTTACAGATATGTGTCTTACTTTAATCACACATTTTATTAGAATTTTTTACAATATTTTCAATGCAACTAACTCAACTATGTCTATTATCACTAGAGTAGTAAAATAATAAAGATCACAATAAATCCAACACAAACTAACTCAACCCTAACCATAATACTATAATACTACAGTAAAATGCATACACTTAAAACCAAACTTTTAATGACATATACTTGGAAAACAATAAGAAAATATGTATTTGTAGAAGTTATAACATATTTTGGCTATGTATATTTTAAAAGAGTGCATTTCTAAAAAGTGCACTTAATTGAAGTTTTACTGCATCAATATAATATAGTGCTTCGATCCACAATCCGACTAATTCGGATTGATCCGATAATTCGGATTAGCGGATATCCTTATCCGTCAATTTTAAACGGATAGATCCGTAATATATTTCGGATTGAGGATGAGGATTAGATCATACTTGTCATGATTCTGATTGGTCGATCATACTACGCATCGCTTTTTGTGATTTAGCCATTTTCTACAGGGGATCCCAAATTTCCGGGTCGTAATGGCCGGAATGCGTCGTGGTTAGGGTCGGGTTAGGGTTAGGGTTATAGGCTATAGTAAAATTATCAGCTGGGCATTGTTTCATTAGTAAAATTCTTAGTGATCTTGGGGCAAAATTGATCAACTCCGACCCTTCCGACCCGGAGGGTAATTTATTTTTTAAAAAAAAATTTTTTTAAAAAAAAAAAATAAAATAAAAAATCTATTTCGATATATATTAACATTAAAATTTTTGATCTTCAACGCGTCTGTCTGTGACGCAATTCTTTTATACAGTATTTGTTCTGCATCATGTTCGAGAGGGATTGTTTGCATTCTTTGTAGTAACATATGCTATTCCAGTTTAACAATTATAGAGGTTCGTTTAGTTCTCACACCGAAAATCTATGACCAAAAGAAAACAATAAAACAGACTTTTAAATTAATAAATATTGTATTATCATCGTTGAGTTAAAGATTAATATAAGGATTATTTTAAGTACCTTGTTGAATAATTAATATAGCACATGTGAATCAGTGTTGGAAATCTGGTTTGAGCTTTATGTTCTCATGAGAACAAATTTATTTAATCTAATGTTCTCGGAAATCTATTTATGTTCTCAACAGTAAAGTTTATTTATATCCCTGTTTTTTAAATTTCTTATTTTGGACATTTAATAATTGTTAGAATACCTTTCGGATTATCACGGATATCTGAGCGATCTGAATTATCCGCATAGTTCAGATGATGGATTTATCCGGATTGGAACTATACTAACCATAAAGAGATGTTAGAGTTCTCATCCCAACACTAATAATAAAGAGCTGTTAGAATGATTATTTTGATTATTTACTGAGATTATTGCTCTCATGTTATAGCTAAAACTCACATGACCGCTGTCTTCTTTTTACATATCGTGTATTATAGCAAGGAAGTTTTGAAAATGCTGATTATTCACCTTTATCCTGCAGGGTATGGTAATAGAGGTGTTAAAATCCGACCCGTCGTTTAATGATCTAGTAATAATAATAAAATACAGTACATATGCCGTAAGTGGGTACAGAATTCAAGTTGATTCGGAATTTTAAGGTTAGGGTTGGGATCTTTAATATAATCATTCCGTTCTAATCTAAGTGGATTCCGAACCTATTATGATCCATTCTCACAACATGTATATTAAAAAAATTTTTTTCTACCAGCTTCAAAATTCGCAATTTTTATTGGTCGATTAATGATTTTCCGGATTGAATTCGAATTTACTCAATTCGAATTATAACCGGATTCATGAAAGAGAATCCGAATTCAATCCGGGTAGTCCTGAAAAAATAGGATCGAAGCTCTAGTATAATATCGATATGTAAAAGTGATTGCAATAAGTATTTACGAATCTGATCGGATTTTTCATTTTTTCTAGAAGTCTGACCAGATTTTTTTTCGTGTAACTGAAAAAAGTTTTGAAAATTTAACAGACACGTTTTTTTTATTTATTATAATATAATTTTTAAGAACATTACTACCATAAATAGAAGGTTCTAATCTACAAACTACCAAATTTTGACGTCGAAAACTTTTATCAACACATTTTTACTATCTATATAAAGTCTTTTTGTACCACTCAAATCATATGAGAAGTGATCGACATACCCTACCCTTAAATTATGCACCAGACTTATGTCGCGATTCCTACGTATAAAAGGAAATTTCCATCTCAAGATCGTTTGAATTTTTTCGCATTTTTCAAAATGATAGCATTGTCAAACGAATGTTTCCTTGAAATATTTAGTTATCTACAAGAATATAGAAGTTTATTTTCTTGTCTTTTGGTAAGCCGTCAATGGTGTAGATTTGTAGCACCAATTTTATGGAGCAATCCTCTTAAAGATTTTAGTGATGCAAGAATTATAAAAATATACCTTTCATTATTAAATGCTGAAGAACAAGTTTCATTAATCCCATTTAATATAACACTTCCAAATGGACCGAAACCATTGATTAATTACGCTATTTTTACCGTCTCTTATGATGAGGGTTATCTTATGGGATCAATAATGGGTTGGATTAAAAAAGAAGGTCGTGGCCCTTGTGATTTAACGGGTTACACTAAAAATATGATTCAACAACTTCAACAAATCGAATGTTCATTGATTGCAATGCTTTTACGGACAAGTGAAAAGCTTGAATTTGTAACTTTTCATGGATATGACTATGGTATATTTAAGAAGACTTTATTAGGAACCCTTTATCGAAACACAACTATTAAAGACATTTATCTTGGTTGTACGGATTTTGGCCCTGATTCTGATGGTGTAAAAGCAATAGCGGATGCTCTTTTTAAAAATACACCACTCAAATCCTTAGGTCTTGCGGGTCTTAGGGATGCTGAATGTGGAAAATTGTTATTTGAGGCACTTTACGAAAATACCGTTCTTTCATCTCTGAGATTTGATTATTGTCATTTTGGCGATGAAGATGTGAAGGCATTGGCGGATGCTCTTTTCAAAAACTCTACTCTAACATCCTTGTATATTCGTCAAAGATCACTTAGTGTTGAAAGTGTAAAAATGCTGGCAGAAGCTCTTTGCAAAAATACATCTCTGACTTTATTAAATCTTGATGATACTTTTTCTGGTGTTGAGGGTGGAAAAGCAATCGCAGTAGCCCTTTGTAAAAATAATACACTTACCTCTTTAAATCTTCGATATAATGGAATTTTAGTTGAGGGTGGAAAAGCAATCGCAGTAGCCCTTTGCAAAAATAATATTCTTACCTCTTTAAATCTTGATGGTAATCGAATTTCTGTTGAAGGAACAAGGGAATTGGCAAATGCACTTTGTGAAAATGCCTCTCTGAATTATTTAAATCTTAGACGTAATGAACTTGGCGTTGAAGGAATGAAACTATTGGCAGCTGCGCTATGTAATAACTCATCACTGACTTTTCTGAATCTTGAATCTAATGAACTTAATGATGAAGGAGGAATAGTGTTAGCAGAAGTTCTTTATAAAAACACAACTATTACTTCTTTAGAGTTAACTAGAAACGGAATTGAATCTGTAGGCGGAATGGCACTGGCAAGAGCTCTTTGTAAAAACACAACACTCGCTTCCTTGAATATTTCACATAATTATCTCAATGAAGAAGTAGGAAAAGCATTTGCAGTGGCTCTTTGTAAAAATGCAACTCTCACCGACCTAAACTTCTTTGAAAATTGCCTTGGGGATAAAGGTGGAAAAGAGCTGGCAAAAGCACTTTATCAAAACACTACACTTAACTCTTTAGATCTTCAGTTTAATGAAATTGATAGTGGAGGAAAAGAAGCATTGGAGAGAGCTTTTTGTAATAACATTGGCCTTAAGTCTTTAAAACTTTGTGAAGGAGATTGGCCTTAAGTCTTTAAAACTTGGCGACGATTTGTTTGGAATTTGGAAGCAATAATGGAGTTAGCGATGTCTCTTGGTGAAAACACCGTGATGTTATGAGAGAATTGCTAAAGTTTTATACAAGAATGCAAATTTGACTCCTTCGAATATTCGTTATACTTACAACCTTGTATTAGAATTAATAAAAATTCCGAATATATACTATTAAATAATAAAACTAAAAAAATTGTTAAGTGGCAGTAAAAATCAATTTTAGTCATGAATCTTCTTATACATCAGATCTGAAATGCAACCAATTTATCTGAACGACCAGGCAATCCGAATTTTAGATAATTAATCAATTAATAAACTTCCAAAATTATTCTTATTCGCAAACTGATGGATCAGTAATTTTTAGGTATTGTCGATAAATTAATGGATTGTATTCCCATTATAACTAATTATTATATATATAATATTTAATTCTTAAATATAATACATACATATTTATATTGTACAGAGTAATAAAATATAATTAAAATAACAATTACGACATCTATTAAAGATATTTATACTGTACAATTATGTGGCTAGATTACTCATCGAATTAACTATCTGCCAATAAAAAAAAAATCGATTTTTTAAAATATGAACTTTCGATATCTACTCAAAAAATGCTTTTACACTTGGGGGTATTATGGCGCACCATGCTCCCTATGTTGTATTGTACGAATTGCTACATCCTTCTTTCGGACACTATCCGAATGAGGAAATATATAGTAAAAATTAAAAAAATCAATACTGGCATAAGTAATATCGACTTTTACTTATATCTTGTGGTTTAACAACTAGAAGCGAAAAAATTTTATATTACATATTTGATTCGTCTCAGTAAGACGAATTGAATGGTACTAAAAATTTTCGATTCTGATCAGTGTAACGCAAAAAACACAATACCCTACTTTACCTTATACCGTATTTTCGTGAAATAGTGTGAATGGATGTAGTTTAAAATTTTGGCCTAAATTAGGTTTAATTCGGGCCATTCTTCGAAATAACTCCCATGATATGTATTTTTTATATAATATAATATTATTATGTATAGTTTTTATATGCACAGATCCATATCATTCTCTAGCAAACCTTTGGCATCAATTTATTTCGGTTACATCTGACGTAAGAACAAGCAAATATAGTTTATTACATTTCAGACTTCATGATTTCTTCTCAAAATTTAATTTAAAAATCATACATTTATATGTACTATCTTCTTTATTTGTCTGTTTGTCTTAATTTATATTCTCTTTATTTGACTGATATTTGCAACAAGCCTGTCTTTTTCTGATTAACTTTTTCAGTAAGCTAACTTCTTATAGCTGTTTGTTTTGGTATATAAACTCTTTTGTGTTTTTGTATTCTAACTATTTATTGACATCAATATGTTTGCTTAAGGCATTTATTGAACGTTTGCGTAATAATCGGTCACAATGATCTAACTTGGCTTCGCCATGTTGTACTTTCAAATCTCTTTTAATTTGTAAGTTGTAATATATTACAACAGAAACATTAATTACTTTGTATATAAATAGAGTATGTTAAACATTATTACGACAATTTTGAAAGCATGCA